CTGATCCTCCTGAACACGAGGTAGAGCTCATCGGACCCCCCAGCCAAGTGGCAGACACTGGCTTCAGCAGCCACAGGGGGAGGCCTGTGCGGCAGAGGCACATGTTGAGGCCTGCCGGTGGGGGAGGTGGTGCTTTTGAAGATGCGGTTGACCACTTGGCCATGACCAGTCAGGGGCCTAGTGGCGGGGGACGTCTCCTGAGACAAGCCAGTCTGGATGACTTCCAGCAACTCAGGGATAACACCAGCCCCAGGAGGGATCCTCGGGTCCAGCTGCCCCACCCAGTTGCCCTCATTAGCTCCAAGTCCCTCTCGGAGCCCTTGCTGAACTCCTCAGACCCACTACTATCCTCCTCTTCCCACCCCGATTCACCATCCTCCTCATCTCCACCATCCTCTCAGGAGGCCTCTCCTGCTGGTGATGTGGCTGCAGGATCCCCCCTGATACCTGAAGTGGGCTCCCCACAAGACCCTGGGAAGTCTCTGCCACCCCCACACCCATTGGGCCTGCCCCCACCCCAGGAGTTTGGCCAGGGGAACCCATTCATGCTCTTCCTCTGTCTCGCCATACTGCTGGAGCACCGTGACCACATCATGCGCAACGGGCTGGATTACAACGAGCTGGCCATGCACTTTGACCGCCTCGTGCGAAAACACCACCTGGGGCGCGTCCTACGCCGGGCCAAGGCTCTCTTTGCTGATTACCTGCAGTCTGAGGTGTGGGACTCAGAGGAGGGAGCTGAGGCCACAGCCCCGTTGTAATCAGGCTCCCTCCAGCCCACCATCAGCCCCACCAGATCTCGATTATTTGCCACGAGGGCCTCCACATGAGACCCTACCTCCCTGCCTGCCAGCCCTAGACCTGTTGGGGTGCAGGACCCTCTCCCCACAGGTCTGGGAATATGGGGCTCTGCTTCAGCACTGTCCCATTGAGGCTACAGCCTCTTTTCTGTTGTTGCTTTGTTTTTAACAACTGTACTTTGCACACATGAAGGTCACTGTGGTCTGTTGATTTCTCTGCCCTCTTCCTGGTTTTTGTTACACATGGAGTCTCCGGGGGCTCTTTACCTGATGAAGCCGAAATGCTTCACTGGGTGGAGGGTGGGTCATGCAGTGCCTTCTTCCCCGGTGGTCGGAGAGTGGATGCTGAGAATTGGTTCTAAAAGATGAGCCCAGCTGTGTGGTACATCTGTCTGCCTGTAAGGCCCTGGATCATAGCTGTGAATTTATGTTTTCAGGACAGGCCTCTGAGTGAAGAATGAGAGTTCCTGACTCGAAAAGGGCAAGATTCATCACAAAGGCTGGGAAGTATGGGCTACTTAGAAACATTGGGCAGCCACATCTAGCCTTCCACCTGTCACCAGCTCTAGGATCCAGACCCTTCCTTGGGAGTCCTAGGCAGGGGTCTAAGGTTCCTATTCTTATCACTTGCTTTGGGGCTAGCTTGAGGGACTGTGGCCTTGCCATGCCTAGGACTCTAAGCCCTAAACTGGGTTTCCAGCTTATGGGTTCCTGTCTTAACTGTTTCACCAACAGATACCTTTTATTTGCCTTCTCCAACCTACTACTGTGGACAAACAAATCAAGCACTGTTAAAACTCAGGCCCTAAAAAAAGTCACCTGCTTTTTTGGAGGTTAATAATCAAATGAAAGTCCTTTTTGCCATGTACATTCTCAGAAGGCAGATGTGTTACAGGTCAGGTGTTATCTTCCACAAGGAGTGGCAGACAATGGGTGGGATAACTGGGGTCCTACAGGTTGTGGCCTTGCTGTGCCAGGTTCTGGCCAGAAATTGCTTCACAGGGGGCATCAGGGTAGCCATCCTCTCATCTCTCTCCCCAAGAATGCCATGTAAAGCTGGAGATAACTCTTTAAAGGCTCCCAGCACACCCCAGTATTGGAAGGGAAGCTGACCATTCCTCAGATAAGGGCTCAGTCACTGGAAGAGCAGGACAAGACCATTCTCTATCTGGGGTGCTGCAAGACTGTGGGTCTAACAAGTACACATAAGGGTCTCAGGCAACCCCACACACTGAGGACCATCCAAGATACTGGAGTATCTGGCTAACCCTAGTACAACATGGGAAGGAACTACACAGGATGTGAATACCAGGAGATAGGGATCATTAGGGGCTGTATTGGGAGCTGGCTACCACACTAGGTGACATAATATCCAAAACAGAAGTACTGGGACAGGCGAATAATTTTAAATAAGTATAAGAGATAATATAAGAAAGATAAAACAAGAGCAAGAGATACAAAAAGACCCCCAAAATACTATGAGAATGATAGTAGGAAAAAAGGAACAGAAAAACACTGTAAATAGGAAATATGAAATGAGATGTCAGAAGTTTTAAATAATAAGTACAAAAACAGAACACAAGAGACCCCCCTCATTGGATTTTTTAAAAAGGTCCAGCAGTGTACACACACATAAAAAGATTTAGAAATGTTGGAAATGAAAGCTTGAAGAAAGGCTATAGGAAGGGATTCATACTTGGACTAAGTGATAGGCCCCTGAAAATCAAGAAGAGAACTATGGAAATATGGGAAATGTTCTGATAGGAATATAGATATGAATAAGCAATTTACATTAGGAAACCCCAAATCATTATCTCTTTTTTGTTGTTAATCCTCACCTGAAGATATTTTTCCCATTTATTTTTAGAGAGAGTGGAAGGAAGGGGGAGAGACAGAAAAACATCAATGTGAGAGAGACACATTGATTGGTTGTCTCTTGCAGACACCCCACCAGAGCCAAGGATGGAGCCTGCAACTGAGATACATGCCCTTGACCGGAATCGAACCCGGGGCCGTTCAGTCCTTGGGCTGACACTCTATCCACTGAGCCAAACCAGCTAGGGCTCAAAATCATTATCAATCACTTTAAAATATAAGTTAAAAAAACTAATGAGAAGAGCACCTTTCTATTTACTAGATGGGATGCTGCCCAATTCATGAATTGTTCAATAAAGCCCATTAGATTTTTAAGTCAAAAACTAATGAACTATGACTGTACTGGTTAGACTAGAAAATTTTAGTAAGCTGGATAATGCTAAGTGTTGATGGAGACAGAGGAATGTAGGGCCCTTCATACATTGCTCCACCTATTCCAGATCACAATCTGACACTGCTTACAGAAATTATGTACATCCCTATGGCCCAGCTATTTTCTGAGTATACATCCTAAAGAAATTTTCACACTGGCCCAAAGGGAGCATTTACAAGGCATAATTTATTGAAATAGGGTATTGGAGGCAGTCCAGTGAACTTCATTGGGAGCACCTAGAGGTAAAATGATGCAGTGGATGTACACATTGGGGCTTATTGGAACCATTAGAAACAACAGATAGATTATCTGCACCCATAACAACACAAATGAATCTTAACATAATGCTGGTTGGGTGTGTGTTTTGGGGGGGGGGGGAACACACAGAATGACACTACCATTTACTTTAATTAAAATAATAGGTAAAAACGTAGATTTTATATGTAATCACGCAAAAAGATACACATTAAACCCAATAGAATGGTAAACTGTGGGAAGAAGAGAAAGGTTGTTGGGTGCAGGAATAAAAGAGAATTAATAAATTTAGGGGCTTTGCATGGAACAACAATGAGGATGTCTCATGAATTGTGGAATATGATCAGAGATCAGACATTTTGAAAGGCAAACAAGTACCTCTTTTTTTTTTTTTTTTTTTTTTGCATGGGGGTCAGATTCTCTGAGGGCTATCTAATACCAGCATGAATGTGCACAGTGTGAAAACTGTTCACATAAAACCTGGGCATAGGAGATCTGAATATGGCAAAAGTCAGACAAGTTCATTTTGTAGATGTATATGATCCTGTACTCTGAAAATTAACAAATCTAGACTGTTTGAGGGGCTGACGCTTAGGAAGTAAATTAACATTCTATGGATGAGAAATTTAGTCTTTGAGGAAAACTAACCCATTTCTTCTTGGATGGGGACAGCAGAAATTGAGTCTGTCAAAGGTAGTTCAGACACTTGAAGGCTTCACAAGACCAAATTGTGGGTAATGGGACAGACACACTTCGCTTTGCATAAGTCCACTGTGTATTGTCAAAGTCCTTTCTGTGGATGAAGGGCTCAGCAACCCTGAGTGACAGCAAAAATTGTTGTGTGGACTGGGATTTACTTCCTCTGGAGACTGGAGCATCCTGTGTTTTTAAGAAGGCCCCTCAGGCAGTTTATTGGGGCAAGGGGCGGGGGGAATCAAGGATGGCTTCAGGAGGCTGTCAGATAAAGATGAGGGCTGAAGTCAGAAATGAGAATGCCCAGCCGATGTGACTCAATGATTGAGCATCGATCTGTGAACCAGGAGGCTGCAGTTCGATTGTCAGTCAGGGCACACACCCAGGTTGCAGGCTGTATCCCCAGTGTGGGGCATGCAGAAGGCAGTAGATCAATGATTCTCATCACTGATGTTTCTATCTCTCTCCCTCTTCCTCTCTGAAATCAATAAAAATATGTTTTTTTAAAAAGAAATGAGAAGGAATGATGCCAGGAAAAAGGGTCCCATGACAGGCATGTAGATGTTGGGCACAGAGAAGAAAGCCTAGAGGTCAGGATCAGACACAGAAAATGTTAGGTTTGATGTGAAGGCTGATGACATCAGAGAAACTGGAGGATTATCATCAGGCTCTGGGGGGATCATAAGGTTAGAGAACTAGCAAGTGAGTGGAGGTTATGCTAGTAGTGGCTCCCAGGTACGTCGTCAGGGACTTAGAAAAAGACTTATTCGATGGTGAGAAAATCGTGGGAACCAATGGGGAAATGACGTCAAGGAAGTAAGGGCAGGGAAGGAAAGGGATGTGAGAGCCAAAAGGTTCGTGCGCAGAAGAGACGAAAACGGCTGGGGCCAATGGCGGGATACTTACGTCATAGTGCCCCGACCACACAAGTCTCCGCCTCCGTTCCCGGAAGCATGCAGAGAACTTGGCTTCCTACGCCCCGCAGACCACTCCTCCCATCTCGCCCTCGCCGGCCTCAGCCAATGAGGGCGTGCGGGGCGACGTTCAGTGACGTGCACGCTACGTACGCTTTATTAAGCGTCTTCCCGCGCGATCTCCTCCTCAGTCGCTCTGCTCTTTGGCGGTAACTGTCCTTTCGGCCCTTTTACTGAACTTCCAGGTAAGTGGTGTCTGACTTAACGGAGCGGCCTCTCCTCGCCTCGCTGGTGTGCGCCGCGCCGGCCTAGAGCAAGGTGGGCAGAGGAGCGGCTTCGGACACGTAGGCTCGGGCTTCTTCGAGGCGGGCGGGTCCCGTGCTCCGAGGTTAAATTTTTGGTTTGGTGGGCTGCTGGCGCGCCGTGTCCTGGCACGAGGAGTGCCCGGAGGGGCTAGCGGAGTGACTTGGGCTGGGGTTGGTCTCGGTAGTGACCACGCGGCGGCCGAGAACTGCGGGGGAGGGGGGGGGCTTTTCCCACGTGACCGCCGCCATCTTGTTCTGTGGGCGCACAGTGAACGCATGGACGTTCTGGGCCTGCGCTGTGCCACAAAATGACGGGCGTGGCGGCTGGGATGTTGTGGGCATGCGCGAAGGCGGCCCCCAAATGGCTGCGCCGCGGATTTCCGTCTTTTCGGGCTGCCTTCTTGGTTTCTCCTTGGTGACACCTTATTTTGTTGTTCGTGTCTGTTTTCTGTTCTCTCCATTTTTTCTCTTCGTGCTTTGTCCTCCAACCTTTCTCCCACTTGCACCCCACGATCTTCCGTGTTCTCCCCACAGGACTCGAATTCATTGCCATGTCCTCTGAAGAAGGGAAGCTCTTCGTTGGAGGGCTCAACTTCAACACCGACGAGCAGGCTCTGGAAGATCACTTCAGCAGCTTTGGGCCAATTTCCGAGGGTGAGCGGTGGGCCAGGCCCATGAGGGGGTGGACAGTTACCGGAAGTCTGGGACCCTTGCGTTTCAGCAAACATTGAGAGCAAGGCCAGGGCCCCAGTCCTTGTGCTACTTTTCCTTGCTGGGTTCTTAAGTCTAAGGGGTAGTTCAGGCTTTGGAGAACCGGATAACTTTTAATTGAGGATTGGTCACTTTTTGCTTCCTGTTCTCTTTCCCAGTGGTCGTTGTCAAGGACCGGGAGACTCAGCGATCCCGGGGTTTTGGCTTCATTACCTTCACCAATCCAGAGCATGCTTCAGATGCCATGAGAGCCATGAATGGAGAGGTGAGGCCTTTTACCTGCATTAGGGGTCCTGCCCCCATCTCTACCACTTCCACCATTCTTTCTGTTTTTCCCTCTGTGTCTGCTAGGGGCAGCGCGGCCACCAAACCCCACAGTGCCCACTCACAGGAGCGTGACTGCCTTCTGTTCTAGGGGGTGGAGGGCAGCGGCAGACAGAGCCGGGCTGCCTGGGAGGCGACGACTGGTCCTGCATGAGGCCGAGAAGCCACCTGTGGATGGTTGACGTGCCCTGGGCTTAGGTAGTAGAGTCTGCAGATCTGCGGGCCTGGCCCGGAGAGGACCTCGTGAGTCTTCTGGGATGGACTCTGAAGCCTCAAACCAAGAGAGGTGTCTATCTAGCCCTAATAGTTGGGCAGCTTAGAGGAGTGGGGAGGAGAACTCACCTGAGTTCAGTCAAGATGTAAGTAGTAGCAGGGGAGCACGGTGGATTCAGGTCATTTTGTGGGATTCTATAGCTCCTGATAAGGCCATTCTGGTCAAAGGAGCTTGTTGTGGAACATAGCACCCAAAACTTGGTGCTCAGCAGGAGTTTCTGGGCTCTTTTGCCCACCTGCCCTGCCCACTCTTGACTCACCACTTCCCTGTGTGACCACCAACTTATCCTCTTTATGTTTCCTCGCACCTAGTCTCTGGATGGTCGCCAGATCCGTGTGGACCATGCTGGCAAGTCTGCCCGGGGCAGAGGTGGTGGCTTTGGAGCTCATGGGCGTGGTCGCAGCTACTCTAGAGGTAATGACAATGGTAAATTTGGTCATGTGGTGTGGGGAAGAGCCACCCATTTGTGGCCTATGTCTGGGATAATTGCAATTTAAATATTTTTTGTCTACTGTAGGTGGTGGAGACCAGGGCTATGGGAGTGGCAGGTATGACAGTCGGCCTGGAGGATATGGCTATGGATATGGAAGATCCAGAGACTACGGTGGCAGGTGGGTAGCCAAGGGGTTGGGGCGCTCAGGTGGTGCTTGCTTTTCTCTCCTTAAGAGCTGGGCTGCCTGGGTGTGTATACCTAACTTACCTTGGTGTTACTAGAGTTTGTTTTACAAACCGTAATGAAGCTGTAAAGACAAATAGGAGGCATATTTTGAGTTGTGTGTAATGCGTTGATAAATTACAAGATCACATAATTGCAGTGTATGATAGGTAACATGTATGTTTTGTGCTGTGGTTGTGTCTATTGCATTAATGTTTAATATGATTCATTGTGTTGTGTGAATTATATACCGTATAATTGTGACTTCTATCTAATGTTCACATGCTTAACATAGCCTGTTTTGCACATTAACTATTATAAGATGTGCTGGAATAAGTAAATAAGGTTTTCTATATTCTCGGGGTGTCTGATACATTTCCTGTAACACTGTGTTTTTTCCCAGAAGCCAGGGTGGTTATGACCGCTACTCAGGAGGAAATTACAGAGACAATTATGACAACTGAGATGAGGCATACCACACCTAATGTAGGTGAGACTTGTATGGGAAAACCTGTCTCCCCTGTAATCTGTTGGCCATGGAGATGAGGGGGTGTCCTTGTTGTGAAGCCCTTGTATCTTTTATCAGCCCCAGAAGGTAAGCATGTCAGCCTCTTTCTTCCTAACATCACAGCTCTTCCCCTTCTTACTGTTCTCAGATACACAAAACACAAGGAATAAAACTTCTGATCCAGGATCGTCCTTCCAAATGGCTGTATTTATAAAGAGTTTTGGAGCTGCACTGAAACAACTGTTTTAGTATGTCAACTTCTATTTTTGAATTGAGCTCCCAAGGTAGCTTGTTAAAGACCTTTTAGAAAGCTCCATGTGTTTTTATTTTTTTCTCTCCCATTTAAAGACAAATTCTGGAACATTTAGAGAGTCTGGAATTTTCCCTTTTACCCGTTTTTTGTTTTAAGTCTGAGCTCTCAGGAGTGGTCCTGGCCAAAAATTGAAAATTTTGGCCAGACTGTCTCCCCCTCCCCCAGAAATAATGTGCATCTAAGAGACATTTTTTAAAACTTGTATACAGTGTTTATCATGGTTAAAAAGCAATTTCCAGATATAATTGCAATAAATCAAGAACCTGGTTACTTGGATTTTTTTTTTTTTTACTGAAGATCACTGCCCTGATTATATAGAAGTTTCTTAAAATAATTATGAATGTCATTTTTTTAATACTGGAAGAAAAATATTCTGTTGTGTTTCATGTAGTGTTTAGGATGTCTTTCATGGAGCTGATTAAAAAAATGATACCTAAAAAATTGATATTGCTGCTGCTTTTTCCTTACTCTACCTAGCCTGTAATTTAAAAATAAAGATTGGGAAAGGAGACTTTGAGTAAAGAATTTAGGGGGGTGGTGAGCAGGGACTGCTCAAAGGGCAAATAGCTCTAGAGCAGGGGTCCTCAAACTTTTTAAACGGAGCCAGTTCACTGTCCCTCAGACCATTGGAGGGTCGGACTATAGTTTAAGAAAAAACTGAACAAATTCCTATGCACACTGCACATATCTTATTTTGAAGTAAAAAAACAAAATGGGAACAAATACAATATTTGTATTTGCATGTGGCCCGTGGGCCGTAGTTTGAGGACCCCTGCTCTAGAGTTTGGGGCTGGTATACATATATGAAAAAGAATACTAAACTCACTTTAGAGTGAGGGTCCCAGGAGAATCCTGGTTTAAGAACAAAATTCTAAGTTCAAACTGGATTCTGCTGCTTCCCAGCTATTTGACTTTGTGGGTCATTTAACCTGTGTGCCTCAGCCCCCGGGGCATTTTACCTTTTCTGTTGAGCGTAAAGTACATTTAATAGGCATATACAGCCATTGACAACCGTTGGCCAACCCTTGTCACAGATTCAGTGCTAAGGTGGTTGCAATGGCTTGGTCCAGTTTTGTACCTTTGACTAGGCTTGAGTTCCTGGACAACCTGAACTACCTTATGCTCTCATTCCTGGGACATGCCTTTCATGGACTGATCCTGCCTCCCCAATATAGTATTAGAAAGTGAGGCCTTTGGAGAGTGACGTGGATTAAAATGTCATGAGAGTGAGAACTTCATGATTTAATAGTTTGCCTCCTTGCTCAGCTCTGCCATGTGAGGATGCAAGAAGGCATTCTTTTTTTAAAAATATATTCTTACTGATTTCAGAGAGAGAGAAATATCAATGATGATTTCAGAGAGAGAAACATCGATGAGAGAGAATCATGGATCAGCTGCCTCCTGCATGCCCCCAACTGAGGATCAAACCTGCCACCCAGGCATGTGCTCTTGACCAGAATCTTCAGTCTGCAGTCTAACACTCCACTGAGCCAAACCAGCTAGGGTCCACAAGAAGGCATTCTGAAAGGGCCCCACCATAGCTGAACCATGCTGGTACCCTGATCTTGAATTTTCAATCTCCAGAATTGAGAAATTTCTGTTAATAAGCTACCCAGTGTGTGGTACTGGTAAAGCAGCCCAAACTGACAGCATGGGTCCCTGTATTGGGAGTGCCAGTAAGGGCAGCCTGCTTCCAGGGTCTGGACCCTCCTTTCTCCCCTCCAGGTGGTCCTACCTAGCCCACTGAGCAAGGTAAAGACGTCCTACCCTTACCATTTGGGTACTTGGTCTGAGTAGGCATTCTGTGCTGGACCTGCAAGGAGCTAAGGTAGTGGACCATTATTACAGCCTTGTTGGAGTGAGGAGGGGTTTCCCTGCACCTCAGGGAGTAGTGTCCTCACCCCCAGTGCAGCCTGAGAATCCCATCAACTAAGTTCTGCAACAAAACAATCCCCTAAATTACATTAATAAATAGCCTCCTAGACCTGAATGACAACTTGATCAACTTGCTCTGCTCTTTCGGTTTCGGAAAGTGCCTTGTAATCCAGCCCAGGGAGGGCACTAAGGAAGGGCCTAGAGACCTCACAGCTGGTTTTCTCTGGCATTAAAATTGCTAATCAATAAAGTTTCCAGACAAAAGTACCAATTATTCCTCCACTTCAGTTTTAGCAGCATCTCACTAATGTGCATGTTTCCCAAGAACCCACAGAAATGAGAAATTCAAACATTTAAAGGTCCCTTGAGAGCCTTGTATCCCAAGGCCTGTGAAGAGCTATCTTACAAACATCCCATGACCACCCCCACCTCTGCAAGGTCCCAAATAAATCCTAATCCCTGCCCCTCCCACCCCATGTGAACTGAATCCCTTCAGACCTTGCTTCCTAGCTTAATTTCTTTGCCTCAGGTTCAATGTGTATAAAATGGAAATAACAGTGGGGCCTTGACTTAGTCGAGTGTCCCGACTAACGAGTTTTTTGAGATACTAGCAGTCTTGGCTGATTTTTTTTGCTTTGAGTTGCGAGCTAAAATTCGGGTTACGGGCCAGCTTCAGATACCCCACCGCTAGTTGGCGCAGTGAACGCCACATCATCAGCCCAGCATCAGTGTCTCACTCGTTCCCTTTATGATTTGACATACGAGTAATCTGAGTTATGAGCTCCGTCACGGAACGAATTAAACTCAAGTCAAGGCCCCACTGTAGTTCCCCATCTGATGGAGTTAAGGGTCCCTGATACTGCCCCCATTCTAGATGTAGAGGTGTAGAAAACTTCCAAATAGCCTTTCATTTTTTTTAAAATATATTTTTATTGATTTCAGAGAGGAAGGGAGAAACATCAATGATGAGGGGGAATCATTGATCAGCTGCCTCCTACAGGCCCCCTACTGGGGATCAAGCCTGCAGTCTGGCATGTGCCCTTGACCAGAATCAAAGTCCTCAGGCCAATGCTCTGTCCACTGAGCCAAACCAGCTAGGACCTGAAGAACCTTTTAAAATATGCTGTGAATACTTCAGGCATGTTAAAAAAAACATTGGATAAGGATCACTACCAGTGTTCCTACCACTCCTGCTTATCAAGACAAAACTTGCCACGTCCCTGCCCAGCTGCATACCTCTTCCATCTCCCTTCCCTGGCTAACAAGGACCACGATCCCTTGTAATTCAGACTGCCCCAATATCTGGAAAGCCAGAAGGGATTTTTTTTTCAACATACAATGAATGCCCAAAGACCATTAGGGCTTCTAAATTTTTTTTTTAACTCCATGGCATTGTTCTACATAAACATTTTTAATAGGCCATCAAGTCAAAATTTTAAACTTTTAACACGCATCTCTGAAAGTTTAGTTTCACAAGCACAGACTTTGCAGTCTATTCTAAACTTTATGACTGCAATCCATAGTATGAAGTACGTTTTTCCTCACTGGAGTCCTGTCCATTAATTTGTGTAAGTGGAAGGAAGCTTTTAAAAGACATTCTTGCCCTAGCCGGTTTGGCTCAGTGGATAAAGTGCCGACCTGCAGACCAAAGGGTCCCAAGTTCGATTCTGGTCAAGGGCACATACCTTGGTTGCAGGCTCCTCCCCGGCCTGGGCCCTGGTTTCAGGAGGCAACCAGTCGATGTGTTTCTCTCACATCAATGTTTCTGTCTTTCCCTCTCCCACTCTCCCCAAAAATCAATGGAAAAATCCTTGTATGCATATATGCATAACCCATGGACACAGACAATAAGATGGTGAAGGCGGGGGGGGGGGGCGGCTGGAGGAGGTCATTGGGGGCGGGGAAAGGGGGCATATGTAATAATTTCAACGATAAAGATTTTTTTAAATATATATTTTATTGATTTTTTTACAGAGAGGAAGGGAGAGGGACAGAGAGTCAGAAACATTGATCAGCCGCCTGCTGCACACCTCCTATTGGGGATGTGCCCACAACCAAGGTACATGCCCTTGACCGGAATCAAACCTGGGACCTTTCAGTCCACAGGCCGACGCTCTATTCACTGAGCCAAACCAGTTAGGACAACAATAAAGATTTTAAAGAAACAAATTGGAAAGGGGGGAAAAAATAAAAACCTGTCTCTGTAAGATGGTAATACGAATTAAATGAGTCAAGACGTGGGAAACATCTAGAATAGTGTCTGGTCGTTAAATGTAGTCAGTAAGTGTTATGTGTGCCATGTAATAGTAGGCACACAGCAAAGAATATACAAATTGCTTTCCCTCAGGAATCAGGCTTGTATTGATGGGGTCCATGGACAATAAAGTAGTAAAACAGTATGTAATGGAACATTAGGATATGGCAAGCATTAAGGAAAATGAAACGGAATGGAGAGTGAGGGGATGTGCTATTTACACAAAGTGGTCAGGGCAGACAACTCGGGGAAGACACTTTACAATAGAGATGCAGATAGAGGGAGAGCAAGCAAGGAGGAGGAGATGGGGGTAGGGCAATGGTTCCGCCATGGCGTTTTGGCTGTCTTGCACATCTCCGCATAAGCCAGGTAGGCAAGCTTATCTAAGAATTGGCAGAACACTCTGATCTTCGGGACATAGAGCCTGACAGGCTTGTGAGGAAATGTTTGGAGGCCAGCTCTCATTAACCTCCCTGTCTACCAAAGAGACTGTCCTGAAACAGTTTCTCATCCCCTGAGGTTCTGATGAGGTAGGAGGCGTTCTGTCCTTCACCCCAACTCAGTGCTGTGGAACTGCTCAGCGTGGAATCAGTTTTTCTGCTGCAGTCATCGGGCCCCCTTTGTTTCAGTGTCACCCACACAAGTAACATGAGCTGGCATCTGTGGCTATTCTTGTTTGTTTGTTTTTTAATGAACCTGTTTTGTTTTCTTTTTTTATTAATCCTTGCTTGAGGATATTTTTTTTCATTGATTTTTAGAGAGAGTGGGAGGGAGAGGGAGAGACAGAAACATCGATGTGAGAGAGACACATCAACTGGTTGCCTCCTGCACACACCCCAACTAGGGCCGGGGAACCTGCAACTGAGGTACGTGCCCTTGACCGGAATTGAACCTGGGACCCTTCAGTCTGTGGGCTGACGCTCTATCCACTGAACTAAACCAACTAGGGCTATTCTTGTTTTTGCTATCTATGTAAAGTAGCAAACACCTGAATCAAGCAAGGGCTGGTCTCTTTAATGGCCAAATCTGTCAGCTTTGCTGTGGGAAAGAATTACAGGCAGAAGAAAATGCAAGCAAGTACAAAGGCCCTGAGGTGGGAGCTTGCTTGGTGTGTGATTAACAAGGTCAGTGCACAGGAGCAGAGAGAGCCAGAAGGCAGATGGCAGGAGGTGAGGTTGGAGAGGTGACAGGGCCCTGGTCCTGTGGGCCCTCACTGGCCACAGGGAGGACTTTGGCCTTTTCTCTGAGAGAGCTGAAGCCACAACAGGGGTCTGAGCAGAGGAAGGCTTTGGGCTGATGGGTTGTAACAGGACCCT